TGCCCAGTGGCCATGGGAAAAAAGGGGCATCCTTCCTTACTCAGTTCAGTTGAAAGGGGAGCCCTTCCCAACAAAGGAAAAAAGGGCGGCACTGGGCAACTGGGAACTCCAACCCATCAGTTCTGGAACTGGCACTCACTTCACTAACTGGGCTGGCAGGAGGGCTACCCTCCGATAAAAAGAAAGCCGAATTGGTGGCAACCACCTTCTTGAGAGGTATTGTTGTCTTACCTGCAAGCTAGCCTTAGCTTGGAGGCATCCCACATGGTTCAGTACAATGCCTCTATTTTGCTGAAAGTACCAGCCTTAAAAAAGCAACATAACATATTGCCAATCATGACATGTTCCCCTTCAAACAACAACCAGGCGGGACAAAAACACAACTGATTTGCAAATCCCATTTGTTACCATGGAAACCGCCACTCTAACTGTGACTTGCTGGCTAAGTGACCCAAAACAAGTGGTTGATCCTTAAACAAGCAGCTGACTGGTGCTTGACTTCCCGGACCACGGTTGTCCTTTCCCTGCGGTTCCCCTTTCAAAACAACTCAAAAGCGCACCCTCCAAACAAACATAACCGTACACGTCCATCCGTAACACTATTATACCACTTGCAAGGGGTACCCAGCCTCCAACTCAAACTCCGCGCCACCGACCGTTGGTTTTTGCAAGAGCACATTTGACAGGAAATGGGTGTGTTGCAAAAAGTAGGTATCCAAAATGGAACCTCGGTTCCAAAAAGGGACAAAGGACTGAAACCTGCGGCACCCTCGCCTAGTAATGGAAATTTTGACCCATACCCAAATCGTCTTTGCTAAATCTAACAATCCGAGCGGCATCCTCTTGAGACTGGAGCTCCTCGGCAAACTCGGCCTAAGTTGTGGAAATCTTCATTCCACCACCCAACAGCCGCTGTCTGGGCAGCGCTTGGAGTTTTGGAAATGAAAATAAGCAGTTGTCGGGGCGCGCTTCAATTCTAAGTTCAAGAGGCCAATCATGTGCACATCAGGAACCCATTCGTGGTCGAACCCACCAAACGTGTCACATCCATGAAAACAGATCGCACACCTCTGTGATGCAGACCCCCAGAGGCCATGCAAAAGAAAGGCACTCTGTTTGGGGTAGTCGATTCAAAAGGCACAGAAAACACAAAAAAAGGAGAAAAAAAACAAGAAAAAAACACAGAAGCACGCAAACATACAGCAAAAACGGGGCACCGCTGGGTGTCCGGGGTGAGCTCCCTATTGCCTGTCCCATCCAAGCAGCTTCCATGCGCCCCCACTCGTCCATGTCCTGCCCGCGTGTCGGACTTGGTGTGTGCGGATCCACTGTCGGATATTCCACGAGAGCTGACAAGAGTACACCATCTGCATCGAAGCGGGGAACTGCGCCCTAAGTATTCTCTAGGACAATCATTATCATGATGTGCATTGGGCAGGCAAGTCGGACCTCTGACAGTACTTCCATCTGGAGAAAATCATCTTTCAATTGCAGATCCATTTGCTGAGGCTGGGCATTTCCACATATGCATGTACATGTATGCACCTGCAATATATACATATATATATATATGTATGTATATGGGTTCCTGAGAATGTCGCTGTAACACCCGATAGGGGACAACCCGAAATCGCTGGTCCGCTGAGCTGTCGGCTGACTGGGTTGTCAGTCCGCTGTGCAGGGCCAAAACTAGGTCGGAGGTCCGAGGTGGCATTCGAACTGCAGCACAGTTCCAGGTGAAATCCTCCCAACCCGCTGCACGACACAACTCGAAAATGGCTCCAGCAAGGGATCCCACGCCCAACCCGTTTCCAAACCCCTTGGTGACGGAGCCAGGGCCCAGGAAGGCCACGACCCGCCATCAAAGCAGCGCGGTTGAGGTTGAATTCGTATTCACTACCGTTATCACGGCAAAAGAGGCAGAAAGCTACGCACAGCGACCCCTAAGAGCCAAGAAGATGAACCCAAGCCGCAACAGAAGCGCCCAAGATAGGGCAGAAGGCAGAAGCAACTTGAGCCAAACTGGCTACGGTATTATAGTGTCATTATGTCTGTAACACTCTAAAAAAGAAAGGTGCGGAGTTGCTTTTCCGAGCAGCTTCTGCGGATTCCATGGCAACGAGTTTCATGGGCTTTCCGGTAGTTGTCGCCTGAGTGCCCAGGGACTCGACGTCGCAATTTGAACTACAAATGCAAAGCCCAAAGCCCAGACTTCCCGCTGCATGGCTCTACCAAATAAACTGGACATGGTCAGCTTTTTAGAAAAAATGGCTGTAATTGGACGTGCTCCAACTAAAAAAAACTTGCACCCACAAATATGAGGGTCTCTCCTTTTTTGAGTTGGTACCCCTGTTGGTTGGTTTTAATTGAAAACCAACAAGACCACCAACAAATCCGTTTTGTGGGGTCCGAAGCCCCAAAAAAAACAACACCGCGCCGCCAAACAAAACCGGAGCATCCGTCTCTTTGGTCTCCCGCGTCCCGCGAGGTCCTGCATGGTGCAGTCCGTGTTGCAGGCCACACCTTGGAGTTGGGAGGAAACGGAAACTAGGTCCTCCAGACGAGTTGGAAAAAGGGTACCCTTTTTTCTGGTTTGTCTATTTTAGTAGGGCTGAGAAAGGTCACTACTGGGGGACCTAGGTAAGGGACCGCTCAGGGCGCTCCGGAGGTGCTCGGCGCGCGTGCTTGCTTGGTTGTGTTTTTTTTTAGGTAAAGGGGGAGGGCTTCCTTATCTTTCTTTTCTTTTGTTTGGGGCGTGGGGGGGAGGGCTCTCGTGGTCTTGTTCCCCCCTGGGCAATATGGTTTTTCTGCCTTTTGCGGGGGCTTCGTGAGTCTTTCTAAGAGGGTAGTTGTTTCCTTATCCGCAGGGCGCCTTATTCCAACCGGAGCCTCCTCCAAAACGAGCTTATTTATGTGTGTGTGTGTGTGTACGTGTATGTGGCCATTTACTTTGTAAAATAGGGTACCTTGCTTACCACGGCCTCCAAAAGGATCTTATTTTGCAGGGTATAGACTAGATATGATAAATAATAATAAGCCGAAGACTATGTTGTTGGAGTATCCCAAATGTGGGCCAAGTTTCGAGGAAAACCCAACCCAACAACCATGATGCTTGGGGGTCCCCCCCACTTTGACACATACTTGGCAAAGCAATATGCCAAGCAAATTGGGTACGTGGAGTCTCCAACGGGTTCATATAGCCCAAAAGCTATTGGTCATGGAGACTCCGTGGTACGGCAAAGGAGCCCCCGAAGTGGTGAGTTTCCTGCATTACCAATCTTGAGAGGCGTCAATCTTCGGAACCACTCGAATTGCCTGCCTCAACACACAGGTGCCTCTGGTGCAAGAAAGAAAGGCTCCCCCCTGCTTCCTGATAGTGTCTCCCTGAACCCTAGGGTTACCCCCCCATGAAAAGAATGGTTGACCCAATTTGGATGACAATTAATCAGGTAAACACTGGCGGAACAGATTATTCTAATGGCCGCTTCGAACGGGTGAATCTGTTCGCCAGGTTCCTTCACAAAAACGTCTAGGGGGACCTTCCCCATTCTTTCCAGGGATCCTTCTTTTCAGGAAACCATCAAAAACCCACAGGAAAAAAAAGCGGACTTTGAAATGAACGATGGTTAAAACAAAGTGGTTGGAATAAACCCCTAGAAAACGCCCCACTTCCGCCTTCAGCCGCGGCGCTTCTACTTTCAGGGCGGCTGCTGGCGGCATGTAGCCGGGCCACCAGCCGCTCCAGTTCCTCGGCAACGAGGAGTGCCTCAGGCGGCAGGGTAGCGCGGCCGAAGCAGCAGCACCATCAGATCTGCAATATATATATATGTATACATGTATGTGTATATGTATATATATATATATGTATTTATATATATATATATATGTGTATATATATATATTTCTAACATGTTTAAATTGTTCAGTATTGCTGTATGGACATGTACATATATATATATGTATGTATGTATATATGTATGTTATGCATACATATCAATATGAACAGCTTGCATTTGCTTGTCCACATGTGCACATATTGACACGTACAATGTATGTAAGTATGTGTGTGTGCATGTGCATATGCATGTGTATGTATATATACATATATACATATATATGTATACATATGTCCAAACCCATCCATCACAGTGCCTACCGGTCTTTTTCACGGGCCTCAAAGTGCGCAGCCTAGCTCTCTGCAAACGAAGGGGTGCGATACGCAGCCACGCAGCATGCAGGAGGCATTCAGGATGCCACAAACTCTTCAAATCGTCCAGTTGCTGATTTCTGTGTATAGGTCCATATAATGATTAACGACCAAAAGGTTCATATTTCAACGCCAAAACTCAAGGTCTTCCCCTTCATATCTCAATACAAGGACCTTTCGGAGGACTCTATGAAGCCGTGGCCGTTTGGGACCCTTTGGGGGCAGATTCCCATCAATCAATCAAGCCACAATCAGGGGTTAGTTAACCCATAGGGGTTCATACCAGGGGGTCATATGTGGGCATGGCGCACATTCTGCCTGAAATAATATTTGCTCCCCAGGAACTGAAAGAGAAAATATGTAGCGAAATCTACTCCCCTAACCAACAGAAAAAAATACCACAAATTCATTTCAGCAAAGTGCTTTTGAACTCGTCCACTTCATGCAGAAAAGGAATCCACGAGAAGCACCCGAAAAAACATATGAACTCAAGCAATGAAGCGAACCAAGATGCTGCGCTGGATGTCATCTTTGCCAGCTTTGTGCAGCTATCCCATGCATACAGTGTGCTGCCTTGATCTGGAAAAGCAAAGCTAACACACGTTGAAGTGTTGGTTGTCCAGAACACATCTGATCAAAACACGATATGGCAACTGAGCTGTCTGCAAATATACACAAGGCGCTTCTTTGTGTTGCGAAAGTGTTTCCGTTCATTCAACTCCTTCTCACTGAGCCAGAAAGTATGCAAGTGACTTGAAACTGCACAGCGTGCATTCCTTGCGGACCACTTTTTAACGCCGATCGCTACCAATCCATCACCGTGTCCTCAGGCAGGCGTGCACTTGCAAACATGCAGCATCCGTTCTTCTCGTGCATTGACCCGTTATACTATCAGCGCGGATCGTGTGATATCACAGCATATTTCATCGTGAACCTATCCAAAGGTCCCAAAGAAACATTGTACCAACGAGGAGCGGCCCGACACCACTCGTGTTCGCAAAGTCTACTCGGGTCACGGCCAGGCCCACAAGGGTATCCCCCCAAAATCCTCGAGCTTCGGGAGCTTCGGGGCTTTGGGTGGAAGCCCTGGAATTCCAGGTTCTCCTTCCTTTCTTCGCAGGGATCGAGACTGCCTTCTTGAAAAGGGGCGTTAACGTAGACTTCCAGGTTTGCCCAGTGCCCGCAAAAAAAAAAAAACGAGGGCTAGAGATGGGGTGCGGAAGCGCCCCCTGAAAAGCAGCACTGCTTGATCCCCCCATCGCTCTGGAGTCCCAGGCCTTGATCAGGTCATATGGCCATGGGTCAAAATCCAAATCGTGCCCCCAGTGAACATCCGATTCAATCCCCACTAAAATAGGTTCTAAAGTGGGGCCATATGGGTATGAATTCTAATGAGGGACCCTTTGGTGGACATCATTTAGGTGGGAGTTTATGTCCACCAATCACTTTTCAGGGGGTTCTCCGTTAAAGTTCATGGCCATATGCCCTCAGTTGCTCAGCAATTGTGCAACAAAGGCTGCCCAAAGGACCTAGAAATAACTGGTTGACCTTTGGGATTGGCTAAATCTGAACCATGGGAAACTCCAGAAGATCACGCCCACCCACTTTGGAAGTGAGTTGAGTGCAAAGGAGTCCCGACAAATCACAACGTGCTAAAGGGATGGCCAACCCACTTCGTATGCAGGCTACGGCCATGTTTATAGCAGGCATTGCTGGGGTTGGTTCCACAAAACATGGCTAAAACGCCGACTTGCTACGGAGATCTCCTTCTTAAACATTACCCCACCCAAAGGAGACTCACTTTCAATTGGCCCAAAGGATGGTGCTAACCCCCTAAAGAGAAATGTTGGGCCAGGAACCCTGAAGCTCCTGAACCAAGCTTGCGTTATCTCCCATCCGACGCGCCTGAGGCGTGCTGGGCTCTTCTCGTTGAAGCCACCTGGCTGGTTGCCGCCTGTTGGGTTGTGTGTGGGGCCATCAGTCAATTTCCCACAAATGCAAGGGGACTCCCGAAGTAGGAACCGCAGATTTTCAGCGAACCTATGGTTCTCAAGGTCTAGTAAACTGGCTTGATAGAAGGGCCAAGGCTGAGAAAGCCTTGTACGCCGTTAGGCTCGCATGTTCCGCCCACGTTGCAAAGCCGTAAGGCCTACTGGGATTGCGTAGGAGGTTACAACCATTGTGGGAACTAAGCCCAATTACCACAGCTACAACCATGGCAGCGTATGATCTACTTACAGAGTGGCTTGATCTGGGGCCAAACGGGGGCTCCGTCAATCATTTTGCACCACGCTTATAGTAAGAAGCCCGGTAAGGGCTCTTGTGTATGAGATATCTTGGCCCACTCCTGCGATACACAGACCTGATCATCTTTCTCACTCCCTTCCATATTTAGTCCAGCCTAAAAAAATAAAAGGAACAAAAAAGAATCAAGGAGACCCTGGATGCAGTCGTTGAGCCAGTGTGCCCCTTGAACGGAACCGGCAAATGTGCAGAGCGCAAGTCTACGGCTAGCGCCCTTCTGCTCCAGGGGCCATGAGAGAGAAGCACGTTTCTTCGCTCAAGAAACATCGAGGGACACCTCGCCAAAAAAAGAGACCGACACGGCCTCCGTGCCACCATTCCCTTTTTCGGTGAGGGACACCTCCTTTTTGGTGGGAATGTTGGTGGACACAAACAGTTTCTTCACCAGCCATTTTGAGAGAACCTTTGGTCGTCAGATTTTCTTGCTGGTTCTCAGAGCAAATAAGGGAATGACCCTTCCAACCCATCGCCAATGCTTTTTTTTGAGTGAATCCCCTTCCGGATCATTCCCAAAAATCGGAAGATCATGGCCTACTCAGCACCAGCAAGTTTAAAGGGACACCCCAAAGGACAAAAAAGAAGGCTTCTCTGGGTGGGGCTCAGGTCAGCATGGGTCAGCATGGGTCACCTCTTGGGTCCTCTGAAAAAACTACAGGGCTCCCCATATCCCAATCCCCAAAGCGTTGCTGTGCAAACAGGTGATCACAAAAAAACAAAACACTGATGACCCTGGCAAATGGAATACAACCAATCTAAACTCATGCCATCTAGTTCTAAGCAAACGATTTAAAACAAAACAAACAACTAAGAACATTCCCCTTTGGCTCCTATATTTCTGCACTCGAACTCTACGGAAGCTGACAGGTAGTAGAACTGGTTCCGCGCGCCACTTAGACAACTTTGTACAAAAGTGGATCGGAATCGTGGATCGAAATGAGGGGCGGGTTCAAACACTGATGCTAGCAGACTCTCCGAAAAATGAATACCTCACGCAAACAGAATGCCCAAAGCCCCCCGCAGGCGGGAACTCTAACCGCTGGACACTGCAGATATCTCAAATGCCATCGGCTTTGGCAGTGCCCAAAATGTGGTCCCTCTGTCCCCCACCCCCACCCCACCCGGTCGCGGTTACCCCGCATTTACAAGTGCTCAAGGCTTTCCCCTTGACAAATGTGGCTACAAGCTTGGGTGCCTTTAGGTGCAGATTATCACAAGTAGCACTATAATGCTCACCCTAATCCTAACTGCAAAACCAGGAGGCAGAGCACTTGACGGTACTTGGAGGTTTAAACCTACCCAATATATGTAGGATACATCATATACATTCATGCTCATATCTGGTGTAGTGGGTTCTATAAGCGAAGTGGGGTGAACATCCAAGTTTCGGGATGCTGAATGAGGCAAGGCATCCGTGCAAAGCGACGGCGCCTGGTCAGGTACTCGCACTTCTCTGGGCAAATGCGGCCGCCGGCCTGTGATTTCGAGCCGACAGACCCTCCCAATCTGCCCTTACCAATCTCTCGCTGCGGTCTGCGGGCTGTGCAGCTGCATGAAACAATAAATACTCATGCGAAAACAAAAGACCATTCACCAATATTATTTGTTTCAGAACTGCAATGGACCATCATAGAGGCCAGAATCAGTCGTTAAAAAACCCTTTTGACGAGCTTGTTGTCATCAGTACAGCTTTCTGAAAACTAACCAGAATGCTTGGCAACATGCCTTGCTGTTTTAAGGGCCGCCTGTCAGGTACTATCTAACATCTTCCCATTTAAGTGACTCGTTCAACATGAAGCTTTCCATGGTGCTGCACAAGAGAGTGCGAACAACATACACTCAAAACCAATGTTGAAAACCCAATATCTTGCTGGTGCTCAGTAGGGAAAGAGGGAATGAACCGGGGGTCCCCTTAAAGGAAACCACAAGGGACGAATTTATAGGGGTCATAGGCTAGTTCCCTGCCGAGCACCAGCAAGCTATGGTATGGTCCTTGGACAAATCATATCAAATATATGGGCTCAGTAGTGGACCGGAGGATACTCACCTTGCAATCGGATAGCACATTGCCGCCCAAACCTTGCCCCGGATAGCACATTGCCGCCCAAACCTTGCCCCAGCTACGAACCGCATCGGCATGCGCTGTTCAAACTAAAGAAGAGGCTCTCATCCTTGGATGGTCAACCCACTTAGTGAGTTGTAACAATTGTTATAGCTTACTTACCAAGAGTGGGTTGAACATTCAGTTTACATAACAAGAAGGTCACACGATGTTCAGCAAACTGCTCTGAGGCCAAACACGTCCTTCACTTCGCAAAATTCGCGCAGCGTTGCAGGCCTTGCAATCGTTCCGCAAATGGCAGCAAAGGCAGGGCACCAGCATCTGCCCAGGTGAGTCCTCCATGGGCGACAGGAAGTTGGGCAGGCGTGCGCTGAAGAGGTCGAAGGGACGGTTCAAGGAACCTTGCGAGGTGTGAACAGATGCCCAGTGGCTATGCAAAACAAGAGCATCCTTTGTTGGTTGGTTGACTTTAAAGGGGAACCATTCCCCAAAAAAGGAAAAAAGGGCACCACTGCAACGTTCAATGGGGACTGGTCAAGTAAACGAATTGAATCATGGCTATAGAATTCGATGGTTGGAACCATCTCAAAAGTGGTGGACGTAAATCCCCACTCCACCAAAGGTTCCCCAATGAAAGTTCACACCGAGACTGGCATGCAGGCAGACAGACAGACAGCCAGCAAGAGACAAAGAGACAGAAAGTAAAAACTCGGAAAGACAAAGCGACAGAAAACAAACACACAAAGAGACACAAAAAAAAACAAAAAGACGAGAAAACCAAACAAAAAGAAGAAAAAACACTGACAGCTGACCAACTGACCGACAAGCGGGGCAGGACAACATGGACATCTACTGGTAAACCACCCAGGCCTCGTTGGAATAAGTGTTATCCAGGTAGCTGCCAATTGGTGGTTAAATTGGTTGGATATGGATTTGAACCCCTGGTTCTTGTAGAGGGTAAATGGGAAACCACCCCAAAACACCACCAAACCTCCGGGCTCCAGACCACCAACTAGAAAAAAGCTGAAGCTACTCATGAGCAATAAAACACAGCTGATGACATGGTCTATCGAGCAAAAGGAACAAAGAGCAACGTCTGCCATCTTATTAACACCGCAAAGACCTGAAAGGAAACCTGGGCTGTCCTCAGATCCCCTGCCAAAAGTTTGTGGAAACTCCGCTCCACTAAGCCCTAAAAAGCTAAACAAACTAAGGGGATGACTGGGGACCACCCAGACATTTGGTGTCCTTCGCATGATGCTTGGTGCTGTCTTCCTTCATTGGCGAAAAGAAGATGGGTCAGCTTGGAACCGGGTTCCAAGCTCCTCCGTCCTTTTTGCCACCCCACGCCACTTGTTCATGGCCTCAAACCTTGCCTTTTGGCCCAAACAAGCGGTTTATGGGCAGGAAACCAAAAAAGCTTGGGGGGTCGAACAAAAGGGCCCCTCCGGAAGTGAGACATTTGGTTTGTCCAAAACACCGCTTGACTCGGAGAAAAACAAAAACACACACACAAAAAAAAAAGAAGAGCCCTGTGTCTTGCCATGGCGCCTGTCTGTCTCTTCATAAAGCACTTGGAGCCGTCAGCGCTGGCAGTTGAGGTGACGTCCTCATCCAACTCCAAAGTCTTCATGATGGAGAGGACGTCCTCCTCGCGTGAGGCAAAATCGCTTGGCGGTCCGTTGCCAGATCCCCCGACTAAAAGTGAGTCTAACTTTTAGTGGGCTACATACGGAAATCCAACCACGAAACACTAAAAGGATCCAACAACTGAGGGAATACAGAACCCTTACTATCTGAGTGTTTCGTTGATTCGTCTAGGGTCAGACCCGTCCTCCCGCCATTCCTTGGGTTTATTTCTTGAGCAAATGCAAAAGTTTGCATCCATGGCCGTCTTTCTTGGACCTTGGGTTGGACCCCAGATTTGAAGATCATACTGTGGATGGTTGTGAAATCCATTTCGCACCCTTTGAAACCATGGTTGACACCATGCTCAGGGCAAACATCAGTCCAGGGTTTCTTTGGTGATGCGAAATGGCTTTCGCAACCATCCAAAGTAGCTTTGATGGGCATCTTCTTTGGCCGGCTCAGTCAGCACTCCGCTGCAAGAAGCTGGCTCAATCACAAGCTTGGACGCGCCATGCGCCGGGTCCATTGAGCCATCGGGGCTCTCCGTTTTTTCTCCCCCGTTGAGTGGAAACCCAACCACTAAACACTCACCTAAACACCTATAAGGAACCGGATGGCTGGGCTTGCCACCAAGGAAAACGAATATGAGACAAGTAAAAATCGTACACGGGAATCTCTGCCAATGTTTTTCCTCGAGGCTTGGGGAATTTCTGTCAGCAATTGATTGCGCTATTCAGCGTTCGCATCACAAACACCCGCTGTTGTTCCATTGTTCGAACCATGCATCAAATGTGTGTGTATATATATATATATATGTATGACGGTTGTCTGAAATTCCATGTTCTGGAAACCGCCATCTTCGCGAGAAAAAAATTAACTTGCGCGGACCCCATCGCGGAACTTTCGCGGGGCTGTTTTCAGAACATTCATCACAAAAGTAGCACACGAAGTACACTTTCGCAGCCCCAGCGCGAAAGTCGCAGCTCTTCAGTGCTTGAATTGGAAGGTAGTACGCGAACTAAGCTTCCTCAGCCTCGAAAGTCAGAGCTTTTCAATACGAAAGTAGTACACAAAGTGAACTTCCGCAGTCCCAGCTCGAAAGTCACGACCTTTCAGTTCCAAAGTAGCACGCGAAGCGCGCTTCCGCAGCTCCAGCTCACAAGCCGCAAGCTGCGCGTGAGAGGACCCGTTGGCCTCATGTCCGGAAACTGGCGGGGAGGTCCGTCGACTTTCGCGAAACTTTCGCGGATCTTACGCCAAACATTCGCGAAAATCCGGCTGGAAGTTGCGCTCAGCTTGCCCCGACAGCTTCAAAACTCCCAGAAGTTTTTTTTCTGCTGGCTGGGGGTTGCTTTTGCAGGAAAAAAATTAACTTTCGCGACCCCCTTCGCGGAACTTTCGCGAAGGTCAAGGCTAAGACCAAAAGGTCGTCCCCTTCATAGCTCAATACAACGACCTTTCAGACGACCCTCATATATATATATATATATCAATGTGTATATATTGGGCTGTCCGTTTTCAGATCCCCTGCTAAAGGTTGCTTTGCTTTAGATTGAATGGAAAACCCCCACCAAACCCGAAAAAGGAACAACTCAAAAACTAAGGTCGCGGCTGAAAACCGCCAAGTACAGCGGCTGTATATTCATATCCCGTGGAACAAACCCGACGTCACCCTCTCTTCACTCGCCTCCGTGGGCACTTGTGGCCCGGGGTGCTGCATAACCTCGGGGTGCCCAAAAAGGAGAGTGCTCTAAACATGAATGTGGCACGGGCCAAAATTAAACCACCAGACCCCAGGCTTTACTTGGTTGACGTTGGAAGGGGAGGGAAGATTCGATTTTTGGCAGTTCAGTGGGGAGTTCCCACTAAACCACAATGAGCCAAAATGTAAAAATGTTTCCCAACAACAGCCATGTTTGGGCCTTGCCATTTACATGGGCAAGCCATGTTGGGTAACATTTTCACCCCCAGCCATGGCACCTTCCTGGTTTTGGGGCTCCATGTTGATCTGCAGAGAGGATTTAGACCAACCAGTCAGTACAGGAAAGGCTTAACCACAAAGGCCCCGGGGGGGTGGGGGGCCTCACCAACAAATCTGGAACCCAAACTCGCCAGAGTACATGCTGATGACCTTGACTGGCGCTAGGCAATTCAGCGTTTTGGATCCCATCAAGCCCTGAGTGCCGAAAACCGGTTCATATCTTATCAACCGCTTCCTCAAAACCTTTCGCCATGCTTTCTCACGTGGCTCGCTACGAGCGGGGAAACCGCCCTGGATTTTCGGGCTGGTCGTGGAAATCGGGAGCTTCAGGGCTGAGAGGCTGAACTCCGGACCCGTCCGTAGCTTCCCATTTGAGCGCCAGAGTGATTGAAGCTCAGAGGGAAAAAAAAGGGGCATCCTTTTTTACTTAGGCGAGTTTAAGGGGAACCCTTCCCAAAAAAAAGGAAAATAGGGAGCAACCAGCTGGGCAACTGAGGTTGTATCTGGGCATACGCATTCAAAGGCACAGAAGGCCCAGGGTTTTCTATTAACCTGTGAGGTGTGGAAGCCTAGGGTAGATCAAAGGAGTCCATGAACATGTCCCTCCAACAATATTGAATACATAGCTTGGTTGCCCCTCTGCAAAAAGCTTCACTTTTTGTGAAAGATCCAACCCAATAGCAGTCAAGATAGATACCTTGGTTTCAAGCAATGGCAAAGCATGAATCTTGCCAAAGACATGGTTGCACCTATCATTTTTCTATTCTTCCAACCACTCCCCCTATTTGAATGAGCGCCCCACGTAGCGATGGAGGTCCGACAGGGACACGGGGCGCGAGGGATTCTTGTCCAGACAGGTCTTGCAGTGCTCCCGCAGAATCTCCTGAGCAAAGCGCCTGTGATCTGTTTGATAGCCAGGGTGATATATGGCTGCATTGTCCATTCAACCGTGCAAAAAAGGGGATGCGCCCTACAAAAAGACAACCCCATGTGAAAGTGCTTCATCTAAAACATCCCGCCACGTCCCCCAAATAGCTCCAGCCAGTAGCATATGCGCCCGCAATTGAGCCCTTTTGCGTCGAAAGCCGACCACAGCATTTTGAGACACAAAAATATCTAAGGCTTGCTAAAATGCTCTCAGATGCCCAGTTAATTTCCATGGGAACAAAAGGGCATGCTTTTTTGGTTGGTTGAGTTTAAAGGGACACCCTTACCCAAAAAAGGGGAAAAAGGGCACCACTGGGCAACTGGGATACTAAGGCTATGGCTTTGCAAATGGTCAAAGCGAACAAAGCCTATAGATCCCGCCCAAGCCGAAACATGCAAAACTGGGGTGGGAGGGGCGAACCATTCCGCCTCGAGCGATGTGGGGTGCTTTTTTGTCTGTTGCTTCAGTTTCCATCTTTGGCTTTGTTTTGAAACAGGGATTTGTTTGTTGTTTAAAAGCCCGTGAGTTCCTTTTGATTTCTCTTACGAGAAACCGAGAACCCGTGGCTTGTTCTTTCATCACCCCCCTTTCTAATTTGGCCCGCCGAGCGGCCACCCAGGAAGAATTGAACTCCCCGTCCTTGTACCATGTGCCTGTTACGCGGTCGATGCCGATGCCCGAGGAGCACGTGCTCTTTATTGAAAAGGTTCCCCTCGCAGCACCAAAGGACAATAACTGTCTGCAAATGTTGTTCAATATGTCTAGAACTCCTGAAGTAAGAATCGGATCCCCAACTCCTTACCCCCAGGTCGCCGTAATTTATGCAGAATCATGTGTATAGCATTCTCGAACCCATTTGTCAGAACCCGCAAAAATGGGTCCCATAGGAATGAGGCGGCTCGTTGTGCCTACACGTTTTGCGGAACTCGACTCCTCAACATTTGAGTCACTTGTATATACTTGGGGAGGCGGCTCTCACTTGACTTTTCTCGGCGTCTTCGCTTTTCAGGGGGTGTGTCCATGTTTTTGTGTTTAAAGGGAAGCCAAAGGAAATCCACCATGTTGTGGGTGTCCGGAACCCCCCACCCAGATGTTGAGGCTTTCTGAAAATGGGTGTGGCTTTTTTGAGGGGCCAAAAAAAAGAGTGTTTGTTCTTTCGGTTTCCCTTGACAACCAAACCAAACAGGGCACCCCAAGAACAAACACACACACACACACCAATCATTTGGCTCCCCAATTGTTGGACCTCCCAAGTGAAAACGCCTATCGCCCACCTCTCGCCTCCGGAGATCTCTCGACTCGGCTCCAGGTCGATCAGCATAAAGACTTTCCGATTTCGGTTGTGGACCTCCGGTCCAAAGCCCCAAGCCGGAGGGACCCTTCAATTGGGTTACTTTTTTTTTCTTCTGCGGCTTCGAGAGGCGCATGGGTTCCTTTCGGATGCCACACGCATAGCTAAGCTGCAATTTACGGATTGGAACTCGCTTAGGCGCCCTTTGTTTAATGATGTTTAATGACAAGGAACCTGCTCATGTGCGCGCGTGGGACAATGGCCATGCCATGTAAATCCACAGGAATATGCCGTACCATGTATCCACAGGAAAATAGCCATGCAGCATCCAACAAACGAAACACACAGGAAGCCTGCCCGGAGGTCTGCCCCTGGTCAACCCTCAAACACGGGCAAGCCATTTCGCTGGCCGGATCCCAATATGTAGACTGTAATCTGTATGTAGAGCACCATATTACCATCTGGCATCATGAAGGATTGATGTTGAACAACACAGCTTGACTATCAGTTTAAATAGGTAGCAGCATCCCAAATGCTTGGTGGACATAACTCCATGCATTTCTGATCTACCAAATTCAAAGTGGCCCCAATCAAAATGCTATACCCAGGTGCTCGTGTTGAAACCAGCAGTTGCTTCAATCAAACTCAGCTCAAGTAAACTCACTTCCTTTGTGCTCCAGGCAAACTTGTAAAAGGGAAGCCAAAAGGAAAACCACTACTTCTGTTGGGTCCAAATTCCAAATGTGTTGTTTCTTCGTACCTCGTTCAGATTGGTTTCGAACGGATTCGCAAAGGTCGACCACCATTTTGAGTCCCCCTCCTATTTTGACACACACTCAAATCCCAAGATTATGGTCCCGTTGGAGCGAGGCGCAGACTTCACCTCCTTGATGAGCTGAAGCTTGATGAGCTCTTTGGTGGCCTGGGCTCGGGCGCTCTCTGGCTGGGGCCCGGGAGTATCTCCAGGCCCTGTAACGCACCAGGCCGTGCTGGGCTTGAAGGAGATTAAAGGGACATCATGTGACATAACCTGTGAGGTGGTTTTAGCTAAAAACCACGCCGGCGAGTGCACGTATGTTTGGCGCAAAAAGCCAACAGTGAAACAGGGGCCCGGCCGCCTCACAATCTGAAACCCATGAGCAACTGGGCGTACGAGGGGCGGAAGCAGCGTTTCACCCCCCCCAACAGTATACATCACAGGCCACTTTGACAGCCGCTGCATAAAGGCGAAAGCATTTCCTCCACAAAGGGTGGCAACGAGAAAGGCTGTGCCCCCACAAGACAAGCTGACGCACGCATGCGCTGAGTGGATCCTGCAGCTTCAGTGGGCCCAACTGCTTCATCCATAAAGCCTATCTCAGTCTTCGAACAAAACATGTCAGGCTCGGATTCTGGTCCAAGGGTTGAATTTTGAGGGCAACCTAGTTCAGGTTGATTTCAGGGACACCAAACTGAACCGCCATTTGCTGGGTCCCTATGTCACATACCCATATTCAGCGACCTGTGAACTTGAAATGCAAGCTTGAAGTTGAACAACTAGAAAGCCTGGCAATTGAAACACTCAAGCAAGTCAAACAGATTAAAACTGTAAAAAGGGGGCCTCTTAAACGACATACACACACACACATACATATGCTGACAAAACAAACGGCCCCGGCCTTGGTGATGGTGTGCTGCTGCAGCTTGGTCTGATCCTTCAAACTTTTGCTCCAGGCACCTTTGTCCCCAGCCTTCTCGATCTGCAAATAGACCTGCCTGCGAGCCAGCCTTTGCCAGCAAAGAGATGTACGAGGTTACCCCGCACAGTGATGCCCGTTGGGCTTTGCAAACAAGGGGGCGTCCGTGATTTTCGAGCCAACCAACTCGAAGTTGACAAACCGTAGCCACATTGCTACTTTGATTGCTGCGAAACCACTGTTTCACCTTGCAAAAAGGGCCTCCTATAGCAAACACCAGGTGCTCAGCCTACGCAAGTTCATACAGGTCCTGGGTGCACAACCCATTTCGGGGCGAGACATGATGGCCAATGTGTCTGCAAACGGAAGCGGCGAAACCACCGAGTCCCTTTAACCCCCACAACAAAAAAGCACAAAACAAATCAAAAATGCCAAGTCCAACGGAAACACATACTGACATTGGTGAGCTTCGAACACCAGCCCTCAAAATGCGCGACCTAGGTTGGAGACATGGCAAAACGATACCATCATACGAGTTTGATCCATGAACACACCCTCCCACCAACAGACATGCAAGAGCGTGTCAATCCGATTCCGTCTTCCAAAAGGTGCCTACTTGGATGTTTAACTCACTCAGTAAGCGGGTTGTAACCAAGCATGGTTGCAAGAGATCGAAACCCGGCTACAAGTGTTTGGTGGGAGATTTGGATCAAAGTTGGGAACTCTCGAAGGGCCAAACCTCCTGAAAGGTTGCTAATTGTTGCTTTGGTGGGAGGACAGTCAGTCGTTTATGGGTGCTCAAAATGCAGAAGCCCCAGAATGCAAAGATCTCCCCCAAAACAAAAAAAAGAAACAAGAAAAACAAAAAAGGCCGAAAGCCCATGAATTCACCCTTTTGGATTCGACCAAGCGGCGGAGACTCTCCGCCCCGCAATCAATGTCGCCGATCCGTGGTTGCTGCAACGACCCCTCTTCAAACAGTCCAACTTTTTGTGGGTCCCATGAAAAATCCGAACAGTTTCAACCAAAATGTTCAAGTCCAAAGAGCCAACCAACGCCCTGGTAAATGGCTCATAAAACCCATCTAGAATCTACACTAGTGGAACAATATATTTGTCACCCAATCCACCCCTCAAAAGGGAGACTCGTCTGGCGTTTGCCTGCGATCCGACCTGTCGAAATCCATCGGAACCACCTTTTCTTTGACCCCGCGTTCCCTTTTTGTTTGACCCCCCATTCTTTCCAAAACCACACACCCTCCCACCTTTTTTTATGTCAAATTGGCCAGCCCCGGCTTGTAAACTCTCTTGTTCTGAGAAACGGATGTGGCTCAGATTTGAACAGCTGGTGTTACGCAGGTTTTGGCCCATGTCTCCACTTACCAGGGTTTTATTTGGGAATTCCGGTTTTTTGAGCCACAATGGCCATGGGTCAAAAGCCCGTACCCCCAGTGAACATCCCAATCCCCACTAAAATTGACTAAAATGGGTGGTGTGGTGCACCTACCCGGAAATGGTACCATTGGTTTTGAGCCACCGCCAAATCCAGCGGCGCCCGTGCGCGCCTCATGTGGTCGTCCAGGCGGCTGAGCTTCGCCGCCAGCTGCGGCGCCACCGCGCGGAGCAGCAGCTTGTCCCCCGCCTGGATCGATCAGCGCGGAGCGGGGCAGGAAACCTTTGATCCAGGGGGTCTGCCCAAAAAAGAGGGGGGGGGGGGGGGGGGGTGGGATTCCACCCCAAACATGGGTTCCCCAAAAGGGGGGGGGTCGTCCCAAAAAAGGTTTTTGTGTGTGTGTGTGTGGGTGCGTGTGTGTGTGTGTGTGTGTGTGTGTGTGTGTGTGTGTGTGTGTGTGTGTGTGTGTGTGTGTGGGTGCGGGTGTTTTTTTACGAAGATGGGTTTCCAAAAAGGGGGGGCCAAAAAAGAGGGGGATCCAAAAAAGGGCACGTTTCCAAAAAGGAGGGGATGACCCCATTGACCTAAAACTGACTCGATAGGGAGTCCTGAGCCAATTGGGGGTGCGGGGGGTTATTCCAACACTTTGTTGCTGACAACCCTCAAGACGCTCCTCAGTTGAGAGTTGATCTCATTTGAGGGTTTTGCACCCACTGTTCAAAGTGGTTGATCGTGCTTGACACACCCAAGTAGTCTAGTCCAAAGACTGGAAGCGAGTTGAAGAAAACTGTACCATACCGTTAGAACCTTTTCGGGACAAAGTTCGATGCGGGAAGAGTACCCTTTGGGCCAAGAAAGCCAATTGGAAATCGAATCGCCATTTTGGGAAACCAACATCCGCATTCTCAAAAAAACCAACCCATCGAGTTGCGTAAACAAGAAACAAAAAAACAATCTGGGTGAACTATAATGTTAAACAACGGAGAACAGCCCTTGGAAACGAGAGAGGCTGGAAACTCTCGTCCATACTGCGGCTTCCGTCTTAAGGCCGGAGATTTCGGTGCGTCTGAGAATAGCGGGCAACACACATGGTTCGGTTCCTTCCTGTTTCCCTTTCAAGATTGCCGACCGGTTAAATGCGAGCACTCCACGGAGTCACAATCAAAACTCGGTATTACAATGGTCTACCCAGAACCACGTAAAGAATTAAGAAGGCGGCAGCAGCTATTTATGGTTGGGAGTATCCCTTAACTAACCTTCATCTGGCCCGAATCGGTTTTGATTGTGGCTCAAGGGGTCCTCGGCTTAAAAGTGGAGACACCTGGATGATCTCCAGCCGCGACTGGGTCAGCAGCTTGTTGGCCTCGCGTTCAATCAACCACGGCTGCCACATTGTAAATGGGACATGATGGGCTAATTCCCTTCTAGCCAGGACACCCAATGGCGATCTAGATTCCCTATTAAGCAGTTAAGGAGCCCATTTCGAGTTCGCTCAGGGGGTTTGCTTCATGTTGGGATTTGCAGGTTTTCGGGATGCTTCGTGTTTCCCAGCTTCGGGAGAAAGAGGACCTACACAACACTCAACGTTTTCATGTTCCAGGCCGTGAAACCCCCCACCCCCCCTCCCCCGGGTGGGTGGGTTGGTTTGGGGTCGGGTTTGGGGTAGGGTCGGTTGAGGGCAGTGGTTCAGGTTGGCTTCGTGGGCGAGGGGTGGGGTGCATGTTCACGGGCTGAAAGGGGTGCGAGTCTGGGACCGGAGCTGCAGAACACGCGATTCTGGACAGCATCCCCAGCATGCCAGCATCATCCATGATGCAAATGATCCGGGGGAGGGATTGGCTTTTCAGGGTCTTCACATCTTCCCAGCTCAAGGAAAAGGACTTTGGGCCAGTCATTTTGCCACAACTTGAGCTTGGCCATGGCGTGTGGCACAAGCCTGGATTTCGTGGCCACGCTTGATCCGCTACTTCCAGCTACGCGAAGAGCTTGGCGACTTCAAGACGAAACAAAAAAATGGAACCCGACTCCAGGCCGTCGTTCGGACTGGCTGGAGCAAATGGCCAAAAAATACAGGTCATGCGGAATTTTGCTGCATGGGCACGGTGTGTGTATAGGGCTTTTCTGGGTCGCAACAAGTCCACACCATTCGAAACCCGATAAGTGGGCTAAGGCTGGCTTCAGGTTGGCTAAGGAATGGCTAAAGGTCAGGCAAGACTTGGTTGGAGGTTGAGTCAGCTTGGCTTCATTTAAGCTCAGGGGATGATCTGGATGTGAGTCAGGGTGGGTCTAAGGTTTGGCTTTGTATTGGTTCAGGGTGGGTGTGGGTCTGGTTTCAGCTGGGTGTAGGGTGGATTCGGCTTTGGCTTAGGTTGGTTGAGGGCTTGGACTGGTGTGGACAAGGTTTGGAAACGGCCGGTGATCCCTGCGTGAGCTAGAGTGCGCGTAGCGGGGTTGATCTCTGTTAGCCCGGGCATGTTTCAGTTGGCTTAGTTGTCTGCTGATCATGGTGTGAGTTCGTTTGAGTTGACGTGGATTTCAGCGGACAGGCGGGCTTGGTCTGATTTAGGCATTTTAAGCACCAATTTCTCTGGATGTGGCTGGGTACTTGATGGCATATGGCCGTGACTGGGCGTGCATGCTTGCTCGCTTGCTGGCTTGCCTCTGCGCCCCTCAGATGTAGGCACTGACAAGAAACTCACGGAAACAAATGGCTTACCTTTTTGAAGCTTGTTTCAGACAAAAACAACCCAAGGAATCTGCAACCCGCACAGGCGACAAAATGGCAATGCCCCTCCTTCCAATGCTAAATGGATCCTTTTCTGGACTGACTATGGTTAGGCCCTCTTCCTCAACAGACCCTGTTCTCAATCGCTCCAAACGGCCGCAAAATCCAACGTGCCCTCGCAATTCAGTCTCTTCATGCGGAGTCCTTCTACACCATCAATTTGCTTTGCAAGCCAAAAAAGCCAGCATGTGATCTTTGGCTTGAGCGTCTTTCATCTCACATGGTCTATTCATATCGCTGGGCTCCCTTAACGTGTCAAATGGCAAGCCCTTTGGGCAGCGCTGTTGGCACTAGTTGTCCCCTTTGGTATCTCCCTATCCCCCCCCCAAAGAAAAGGGAAGGCGTACGAATCCCCTTCTTATGGAATTGATAAAACCGCGTTGGTTTCCCTAGTACCATCTGAAACCACCACACCAAAAAAGTGGAGAACCAATGTCCAAAGGCCACACCCGCGGCTGGGTCCCGGGCCAGGATGGTGCACTGGGTCTTGTCCCAGCTGCCTGCCGCGGCCAGCTCCTGGTGGGCTTTTGGACGCTTTCCCTGCAGTGGCCTTTGCTTGCGTGGTTTGAGTTTGTGTGGGAGGGCGCGCCAGTGACATTTATGTTCGCCAGAAAAAGCAACGACACAAACAAATCGCGGCATTCCTGGTGTGACTTGTCCCGTTTGCTGCCGCATTAAAATGAATCGCATGCATATCATGCTAAGGGGGAGCATCGCGTGGTTCACAGCTGTTGTGGCGTGATCCTCCCTGGACGACTTATCCATTAGGCTACAGGTCCGGCTGAACTTTGGTATATGGAATATGCTCTGCCATTACTGTGGCAGCAACCTTCCAACCCGCAAATGCCAAGAGCCCTTTGCCCACAACTGCTCGCATCCATGACACAAAGCCGTTAGGGCTCAAACCACATATTCGCGCCTCGACTGTGATTCCGCCATTGCTGCTCGCAATGTGGTTGTAGATCTCCTGCTGCACGCGCTAGCCATGCGTTCCACTCAATCATACTATTTGCTATTCACATTCAGTTGCATCCTTCACCATAGCCGATAAATACACGAAAACGGCTCATGTCTCTCGCTGGCAGAGCGGATTGGCCCAAAACAAACAACAAGTGGTTGTTTTGTTGCCACTCACATGGCCGTGCCCTCCCAAACAAAGCAGCTGCGTCAGCTGAAAGGGGGCCGTATTTCTTGGACTGCATGGTGCTACGGTGGAGACCTGCAGAATCCTGCATATGACAGATCGGGGAACAAGGGCCAGCCTGCAATTTGTCCTGCCTTGTTCCAGGGAGATGTGGTTGGATGTGGTTGATTCACTTGCATTAGGGCCCGGGAACCAGCGTGCACCGGGTTGTTCAACAAGCACTCAAGAAAACTGAGACGCAAAGCGCCTGAGGAAGCTTTGCTCATCCTTTCCCAGTTGCCCGGTGATCCCTGGTAAGCAAGGGGAATCATTTCTTCTGGAATCCCCTTTTTTTGTTGGGTTCCCAGCCAAGACAAAACTGGGCTGTGCTCGGATCCCCTGCTACAAGTTTAACTTGTAGTGCGGCAAATGGAAACCCAACCCCTAAACCCTATCAACCTACAAAACCAAAGCAGTCGCATGGCTGGGAAGCAAGAAAAGGGACAAAGGGTGCATCCATTGAACTGGGTGCATCCATTGAACTGGGTGTTCAAAAGGAAACGCGTCTCTGCGGGTGCACCTCAAGATGTGTGATGCTTTCCTGAAAATTGGCGGTGCTTCCCTATTGCAACCCAGTCAAGCGTTCCAAGTGACTCTCCTCGAGGTCCGGCCCCTGTCGCATTCCAAGAACGCGCTGGATTTGTCATGAGATCCGGGGACCCTGGGCTCCTGTGTGGGTTGTCCTTGTCTTTTGTTTTTCTTAGGGTGCCCTGCTTGGCATGGTTTTAAAGGGATCAGCAAAAAAAACACCGCCCATGCAAAAGCCACTACCAGAATATGTGATTGCCCTACAGGACATAAGACAGCTAGGACTCATCTCCTGGCATTTTCAAGTGAAGAATGAGGGAGTCCCCGAATGGAAACTAGACTACTGCACATGTTGAGCGAACCTCATATTAGCCTTTTAGTATCAGCACGGGCTATGGGGTATGGCGCCTCCCTTTCAAGCATGGACACTCGAATATTGCCATGTTGTCACTTGCTCATAGTCTCTCCTTTGGTTGGCTTAACAACGCAAGGAGGTCCATGTGCCGTCCAACTGACACAAACCTGTGATCTGAGCGTGCACGTTCATAGCACGCTTCTTTTGTTGCCTGGTTGCTAGTTGTGACAATAAGGGCACAATGTTTGCAAATACAAACTCATGGTTTTCAACAACCCTGTTTCGCTTTAAACAAAAGAGCCTAACCTCAGTACTGTTGTTGGGTATGATTCTAAGCGGCCCTTTGGTCAACATAATATACTTGGCATCTATGTCTAGCAACAATGTTTGAGGGAGTTCCCGATCACACGTGGTTGCCAAAGGTTCAAGGGCATTTCCAGGCATGGGTTTTGGAGGTGTGACGCTGCCTGTATAAGCTTGCGCATGTATGTACCCCTTGAATGGCTGCCTCCGAAACTACCTGGACATGTCCTGGACATGCTTCGCACATTAACCTAACACTCTGTCGGAAATGAGCCCGCCACAACCCATCGAGTTTGTCCATCAAACAGGGCTCCTTCATGTCCCTTGCATGTTCCACGTACTATTTCAGGAGTCACCGTTGACTCATGAAACTGCAATCTTTGAGTTCTTTGACTCTTCCAACCAGAACGCACGACCAAAGCTTCGGTCAGGCAGGTTCTTGAACCTTGGGTGCCCACAGCTGACTCATCCAGGTGCGACTGGCGCCTGTTTTTGTGAGTCCGCGTTTGACTGCTTTCTGTTGTCTCACCCCCCCCCCCCTCGGAAAGCCGGGGGTCTGTTCTTTGTTGCTTGTTGGGTCCCACTAGAGATTCCATCCGAACTTTCCTCCAAGAAAACACCTGGAGTTGTCTGTACACTGTAAAGGGGGGTAATCTCAAAATGGCTGGTTGCCCTCGTCTTAAGTTGAAGAGGGAGTAGTAAGTAGCTTGCCATGGTACTGTAAGTCGTAAGGGGGCCTAACCCAATAAATCAGCCCTTTTTTGGGCATGTCAACATGGGTCTGTGCCTTGTTGTGTTTCCCTTTTCTTTTTTTTCCCGGCCACCCTTGTTTGGGTTGGCCTTCAAGGCAAACCGGCAGTACACCACCCATGGGGCTCTCCTCTCCATACCCACGGCGCCTGTGCCACCAACGCCATGGCAAGACGGATGGCTTGTGGCTTGTGGCTTGGGATCGATAATTTCAGGGGTAAAGGGAGACCAAGTTGCGGAAAGCCCGCCATGTATGTGGGGGGGGGGGGGGAACCCAACACCAACAAAAAACAACCAAACAAAACGCTATGTGGGGGGGGGGGGAAACCCAACACCAACCAAACAAAAAAGATCGCGTGCTGCGTGGCTTCCCCTTGGCTTGTGTCTTGGAGCCAACCTGGAAGGCTGACTGCAGGTGGCGCGCTGAGCGCTTCCTTCCAGGACATTTCAGAGAGGATGCACAGGGCGCTCTGGCAGAAAAATGGCCATTCTTGAGATCTTACCCCTAGGGTTCAACCCCCATAAGAACGGCACGAACCCAATTTGGATGATGACATTTTTTAGGTAAACAATGGTTAGTTATATCAACCCCAGTTGTTTTTTCATGGTGGTTTGATCCTCACGTGACCGTGCAGAGCTTGAACCGAGCTGGCTGAGGTGGCCAGGAACACTTGTGCAAGTGTCAACGTTGAGCTAGCTTCAAGTCCAGTCCAAAGATCTCCAAGGACATGATAAGCCGCAGCTTTGGCCTCCCCTTCCACTCTAAAGATCATGGTTATATAGAATCTATAGAACACGGCGCAAAACAAGGTTTATGCCTTTAGACAATTCAGGATACACAAACGCCTTCTCTTTCGGGATCCTCGACATTCAACCAACAATTTAACATGCTCAAAGGGCGAACACAGGCTGCAACGAGGCCAAAACAACTAGGTCATTGCACCCACCAAAGCCAATCTAGTTTGTTCCACGATTGATTTATCAAAAACTTGCCGCCAAGCTGGAACCGCCTCTGAGCGTGTCTTTTTGCTGACTCCTCTGCACTCTCAGCCGCTAGCGAATCGTCAAGGTCATCGTGATGCCATCTATCCTCGGGCAATGAAAAGGCTGGCAGCGAAAGGATCAAGGTGTGTGTCCGTCTGAGAGTGTGTGTGTGTGTGTGCGGGTGTGTGGTCAACATGTCGGATCGCTGTGCCCATGTCTTTCAAAACCACAACCAAACCCACGATTCAAAGAGGTGCCAGGCTATGACACGCACACACACACACAGAGACGAAGATACACAGACACACAAATCAAGAGCAGCGTACGCACATGAGACAGCGCTTGATGCCCAATGGTCCAAATCAATGTCTGCTCTGCATCTGTTTCTTGAGGTTTTTAAGAAGGAAATTTCTTCAACTGGGTCCGAACACCTCCCAGGGTCAACCACCGGCGACCGATTGGCTGGCCCCTCCACAGCCTGGCTTGGGTATGTCCGCATGTGTCCGCGACAGGTGTGGGCTGCATTTGTCTTTCCCCAAGCAACAAAATCGGGTCATCCACCCCACCTTAAGGGGAAGGGGGGTGGGGGGTCCCCAATTCCATTTATATAGTCTTCCCCACAAAAGGGAAAATGGAACCACCAATGGATTTCCAGGGGTCACCTCCCTCCCCAATTCCAATTTTGAGGGGTGGGGATATCGGGTCGCCCCCATGTCCTCCCCCACGACGAAGAAACGGCATGAGTGCGTGTGCGTGTCTGAGGCTGTTTCAAGCTAAGTGCCGCTCGGTCTCGGCCTCTGCCGACACCTGCTCCGGCGGCTCATCAATTGGCTCCTCCTCCACCTCCTCCTCGCCCTTGTCAGCATCCACAACGTCCTCACAACGCGAACCGACCTACAAAAAGCTGGGTTGCCCTCAGATCCCCTGCTAAAAGCTTAACTTGTGGGGTCAATGGAAACCCCCACAGAACCCTACAAACCTAAACATCTAAGGATCCGGACGCCTGGTAACCAACCTACAAAAGGTTTTAAGAAGTTGTTGCTGTGGTGCCACAACTTGGGCGAACGGGGTTTCGGGGGGGTCGGGGTTACCCGCGTTTCGTATGAAGGTTCAGCTGCCAGCACGTCCGTAATCATGCAGCGTACATGTTGAGGTAACGCAGGGCAAGTTTGCTGCACAAATCCTGGTGAAACACATGCCTTACACGCGTGAGCCACTATGCCATTTATTGCAAGTGCCTCAAACTTGCATGACGGCAGCGTAGGGCCGTGGTGTGTTTTCTTGAACCGTGAAAACAAGCCCCCCCCCCCCCCGTAGGTGTTCCACAAAAACGGCGGTAAAACGAATACAATTTGCAAGCGTGCGCAACTATGTCTCTTGCAGGTGCGGCTAAGCCCCCACCCCACGTTGACACAACAAGTTGCTTGCTCCCATTTGCTGATCACCAGGCCTTAAAACCAAAATACCTTGGTTGACGTTGGAAGGGGACCAAACATGTAAATTTTAGCAGTGAAGTGGGGATTTCTCACTAAACCACAATGAGCAAAAATGCAAAATGTTTCCCAACAACAGCCATGATACGGTCATCAAGTCCTGGACCTGGCCCATTGTGTCATGGCCTTCAAAACTAAACATAATTTCATGGCCCTGAAACTGACCTCCCGAGTGAATTGGGCACAACAAGTCGGAACTTCTTTATGTTCCGCTATGTTTTTTTATTTTGAATTGGTCTTCCCAAAACATTCAGAGTCCATGAACTCGCTTTGGTGTCCCTTTAAACAGACCTTGAAAGGGCGTCCTCGTCTTTCCTTCTAGTCTAAAGTCCCAGGGTCCTGCAAATACCAATCGTGAGCTGCCAGCTTCAGTTGAATACACGTCCAGCACATCAGCTTCTGACGGCGCTGCACAATTGACACATGAAACTATACTTTTTAAGTGGATTCGAATGTTCAAGCCTGGCATCTCACTCGAAAACGAGCGTTGCCACGTACAAGCAACTAAGGTCGACTGACACGAGTAGCTGCACCGGTACCAAACAACTATTTGTACGATGCGTTGGTATTACCGGAGGGAGGGTTGTGTGATTTGGAAAACCGCAAAATATATGTATATATATATATATATATATATTAAAATATGTGTGTGTATATATATATATATATAAATCAAGTGAATTCCAGTGGCATTTGCCGCTGAACAAGTTGAACGCCCAAGTTCATGTTGGAGACCATTGGCACATTTGTAGGTGGCAGTTTACTTGCCTTCAGCTGTTGCGTTGCCCTCACTACCTCTTACGAACAATTAAAGTGTCACTCAACACATATGTCACAAGTGGGTCAAATGCCCATGCAGCACGTCATTGATTGGTACCACATTGCGGAGTGACCTGGCTAGAGACGGGGAGCATGTTCGTGGGTTGGCCCTTGGTGGGGAATCCAAACAACTCGGCAACTTGTTCAGACCTGATCGGCCGAAAGGGGTTGAACAAAAACAGCGGTGTTTCAGCAGAGCCCTTGTATGCCCTCACTTCCAGAGTAGATGGCAAAAAAAAGAAGTCTGACTTTTGGTTTACCACTAAATTGGCCTTCCCAAAAAGCTTAAAGTCCGAGAACTCAGGAAGTGAGAATGCTGCTCCACCAAAAGATACATAGCCACAAAGAAACGCCCGCATGTCGAACGCTGGCCCACTTGACTCCTCCCGTCGCCACATGTCGTTGAAGGCGTCATGGTTGTCCACCTGCGCCAGTTTCGGCCGTCAGCTAGGAGCGTGTCACTTAGATTCTGTTCGCCTGGGTTCGGCCAACGGTCCCTTTGAACATGTTTGAACCGTCATCTTTTCAACAAGCTTTGTCTGGCTTCCTTGAGGTACCAGGGAATCTTTCCCCACCCCTGCGGAAAACAGGAAAAACGTGGACGAATTGCGCAGGCAAACCAAGCACGTTCCTTTCAGGAATGCAATTAAACAATGGCGCACAATGGCGCACATGTCTGCAAGTTTGTGATATGACCCTTTGGCAAACTTTGAGGCCTAAGGCGTGATCGTATGGAATTCTCAGGAATCCACGTCAAGTGTTGAGGGGCATGAGAAACCTGTCAACTCCTCGTTGACAAGAAGCAGGCAATGGTACCATGTCACGCCAATGGTCTCTATGATCTCAAGTTTTGTTGCGATTCCATGGACAAAGGCATAATGCACTGGTAAAAGCGCCAGTTGAACACCAAAAAGCAGACAAAAGCAACAACGACACCTTGAAGGGGCCCCTATTCTTGCAAGGGCTCCGCACCTGATATCAAACAGGGAGTCTGGAAAATCTGAACCAAGCCGGTGTTGGCATGCTTTTGGGAACCCCTGTCGGGGTTGCTCCGGAATCCCAGTACGACATTGGCCAAAGGGGAAACCAAAACAAACGCTTGGCCATATCTGGTTTGAACCTGTGTAAAACGGTTCACAACCCTTTGGTCTCCCATTGATTCGATTGAATTCATCCGATGCTCAACAACCTTGTTCTTTCCCTCAGGGTCGCTGGACTTCCCCTAAAGCTGCAGTTTCCGTCCATTGAAACGAGCGGTTCCAATAGCAAGGCTCCGTATATTTCCCCTCAAAACATCCCCCCCACCAAAAAACACTCACCTTTCACGCGCCAAAGCGGTGATGTGTTTCAACCACCAAAAAGGGCGAAAATTTGAGGAGCCCCGAAAAAACGGGAAACACGGACAACGGCACCCCTGCCTTCAGCGAAGCAACTCCCGTCACCGGACGCGCGGACGCGCGCGTCGGGATTCGGACGCGCGCCTCCCCGGCCGCATGCTGCGCGGCGATGGCCGACATCATCTTCCGCAGCTTCTCTTCCTCCGGGTCTTCCTGCGCGGGCGGCGGACGGTTCTCACAGGCGCCCTCTTTGGGAGAAATCCATGGGCTTCCCTGGTGATGTTTTTTTGTGAAGCCCGACTAAACCAGTGAAACCCAACTACTTGTTTAAACTAACCTAAGAAGGACACCCATGTGGGTTAGTATCTTCAGTTTTACCCGTTTCAGGTTGGTTTAAATGGAACCAAAGGGAACAACCAAAAGGGCAACCACCACCTGTTGGGCCCCCGACTTTGAGCAACGCCCAGAGTGCGGCCCCTCGTTGGAACTCCTTCAAGCTGCCTCACCGGCCCGGTCCAACCTTTGGGCAGCTCCGATTTGAGTTTTGAGTAATGTACCTCTTCAAGTTGTTTTAGGGGAAACCAAATGAAAAGCCACCCATGGGGCTCCAAATCCCGATTGTGTTGACCGCCAATGTACTGGAAATGGACGTACACGGGTAGCCTTTCCCGAATCGGCCGTGTTGGTGGGGCGTTTAGGGTTCTGCCATGCTGACAAATTCGTGTCAAAAAAAACCAAGCTTGATCCTGGGCCATATTTGGAGAAACTTAAAACATCTTGAACATGCAAAAACACAACCAAAAGACATGCCAAGACTGGTGTTCTCTACCTTGAGGCAAAAGCATACTGAAAAGGGCTGTTTGACAACTTGTGCGCCCCAGGATGTAAGTAATACGAGGTCCGTCAACAAAAGTCCAAACTCCACCCAACGGATTCACGAATCTTTTTCAGATTTCGGCGGGCCCCAAGAAAGAAACCTTCCACCATGCTGAAGGAACCTTCCAAAAACAACGCCATCACTGGCCGCTGGGGTCGTCGTTCTTTGAGCATGCCCCCTGTTGTAGTGGCTTTGGACGGAGCATTTGTTGGGTGTCCAAATTTGAGACGCATCCATTATATAGCATAGAGGCCCACACACAATGCTTACACAGGTCCTTAGCAAGTTGCACGCTAGCTCCAGCTATGTCGTCAGCGCCACTTTGGACGTCATCCTCGGTTCCATGAGTCAAAGAATCAAGTCAACAGTGACCAGCAAACACGAAAGGCTTTGTGAGGATTTCCTAGGTTCGGCCCTGCCTGGTCCGGTTGCGCCCGACAAGAGAGCGAAAGCTTTCTTGGATAGACACCTTTTAAACCAACATGTCTAGCTTGCTCTCACCTTTGCCTTGGTATAGTCCTGACACAGCCTGGCTCCTGTCCACAACTTGTGCAAATCAAGTCTCCACTTTGGCTGGACTAGCCATGCTTTCAGCATCCAGCCCGCTTCCCGAAGGAGCATCCTCAGTGCGCGCAACGTTGACCGCCATCACAGAACACTCCAATACTCATATCGAACTCAGCGCTATCTCCTGCTCAGCACCCTGTAAGCGTACAAGTGGTCGGGTCAAGTCCTTGTATCTCGAGTTAAGTCCTTTGCAGTCGCTTGGAAGCGCTCTGATCGCATTAAGTCCTAAGCAGGGCGTTTTAAGTCACAGCATTTTCACGCAAACACATTGTAAACGCTAGCGCAAGCGAGTACTTCGAGGTGACATGAAAAAGGGAGTTACAGTGGAACTGCATGGAGCTGTGTTGGGTGTTCTGTGTTTGTGTTGCGCAACGGAGAGATGAAGCACACTGGAAACCCTACAGCCAGGAATGTGCTTTCAAGTAACATGAAAGGCGCCTGCGCGTTCACGTTGTTCTGCAAATGGCAAGCTGTTAACAGCAAGGAGCGGTGCATGTCAGGAACCTTTCAGAGCTCTGTTTGGACATTCGAATGTATTGGCACACGCTCCCCTGAAGCAACACACTCGTAACTAACAGCTCTGAATATCTCTTAAGCTGATGCTCGGCTACATGGTTTCCCCAACGGCAGACGGACCCATGTCACTGTCTCATGTTTGGATGCAGCTGCGGCACCTCCTTGGCATGTGGCACGCTTGACACGTCGACAGCGCTGCTTTGGACATCCTCCTTGGTTCACTCAGTCGTGGCATTAAATCCAAATTGACCAGCCAACACAAAAGGCTTTGTGGGTGTTGCTTAGCTTGCTACATTGACATGCCTTCTAGTCAGATTGGACCCTATAACGAAAAGTGCAAGATGTTTCACGCAACAGTTTGCAAATGATGCGGCATTACAGCTGCATACTAACGTCTTGCCTTGAGGCGACATTTGTCTTGCTTGTGCTTCAACTCCCTTGATATGAATCTTACACACCAGCAGCAAATTGCTTGTGCAAATCCAGGCTAGCCACGGTTTCAGCATCCAGCCCGCTTCCCGAAGGAGCATCCTCAGTGCGCGCAACTTTGACCGCCATCACAGAACACTCCAACTCATATCGAACTCAGCGCTATCTCCTGCTCAGCACCCTGTAAGCGTACCTGGCGGGACCCATGTCTCATGTTTGGATGCAGCTGCGGCACCTCCTGCGGCACCTCCTTGGCAAGTTGCACGCTTGACCCAGCTACGTCGACAGCGCTGCTTTGGACATCCTCCTTGGTTCACTCAGTCGTGGCAGTAAAGCCAAATTGACCAGCCAGCACAAAAGGCTTTATGGGTGTTGCCTAGCTTGCTACATTGACATGCCTTCTAGTCGGATTGACTCCTACAACGAAAAGTGCAAGATGTTTCACGCAACGGCTGGCAAATGATGCGGCATTAGCCACGCAAGCTGCAGAGAAACGTCTTGCCTCGAGGCGACATGTGTCTGGCTTGTGCTTCAAACTCCCTTGATATGATTCTGACACGGCCCGAAAAATCCTTATGCAAATCAAGTCTCCACTTTGGCTGGACTAGCCATGCTTTCAGCATCCAGCCCGCTTCCCGAAGGAGCATCCTCAGTGCGCGCAACGTTGACCGCCATCACAGAACACTCCAATACTCATATCGAACTCGCGGGACCCATGTCTCATGCTTGGATGCAGCTGCGGCACCTCCTTGGCAAGTTGCACGCTTGCCTCGGCCATGTGGTAAGCGCCGCTTTGGACCTCGGTTGACTTGGTCGCAGCTGAGCGACCAACAAGAACGAAAACCGGACTGGACACTGACGTTGCCTTTTACTTGTGCATACAATCTGCGGATGTAGGCAGCATGCAAGGTTGCCAAGTTAAGACCCAAACGTTGTTGGCAAGAGGGTCATCATCCAGGGAAGCTTCATACACCCTCAACACAAGCCCCGTGTGATTGAAATCATGGATGGCAAGCTGCTCTTCCATATTGAATTGGACACATGCTTCTCAGACTTCATGCTTGACAAACCGATCATGTCAATATGCACAAGGTTCCTTAAACACACCAACACATCCCCTGATCATCATGTCGTTGAATTCGCTGGAGATTATTGTTTCATGTGGCCATCTGCCGCATCTTCAGGAACGCCCGTCAGAGACACCCAATCTGGGCAGCTTGCCGCACAATCAATCACCACAGTGCAAAGAGATACGACATTGGACGCGACAACAAACAGGGCAACTGCTCCTGACTATGCCTCTGCAATTCTGCACGGACAACAAGATGTAGTGGAGTCATGGTGCACCCCTGTCAGGTAGTTGTACAACACGACAAATGCCTACACACACCAACACGTGGTAACTGAACCCGGATAGGGGAGCCGCAGCTGGTTCTGCCTTGATATCATGGAGTTGCACACGAGTTGGACACACAAAGGTTGGGGCGAAACCATGTATTGACATGTCTAGCGTCACACTCGACAAGGAAGGAAAACCACCACAAGATATGCACATGACCATACAAACTAGGTCCTCCAGTAGGGTTAGAATAAGGTTACCCTTTTTCTGTAGTCTGTTTTAGTAGGGGAACCCTCCCCAAAAGAAGAAACGGTAAAAGGGCACTACCGCTGCCAGCCGAGTCTCGGCAGGTGCCATGAGTCCACCATTCAGCCCTCTTGGAGCATCCTGAGTTTGAAACTCCCGGCTCTCACGCACTGTCCAGCGAGCGGTGCCTCTAGTTTTGACCACAGACAAAATAAATCATCACAAAGGCGCAGAGCTGTGAAAAGAAAATATGCCATGTGAGACCAAGATTTGGACGTCTATTCCTGTGAGCCTCCCTGGATCGAGGCACTTAAAAACTGAGGAACTTCTTGCTTCTCGCAAGCTGAGTTGGACCAGTCGGCATGGCTGGTGTCCTTCTCTATGTTGTCCCAAAAACTGGAGTGCACCGTCTCAAAACTGACCAATAAATGTGCTCGTTACCCCCCTGCTTATTGAAATGGACCCACCAAAGGGAGATTCCTCGTAAACATGGCGGCTTCTTGGTTTCTATGTAAATGTGCATCAAACCCATGTAGTAGGCCTCAAAATGGGAGCCCCTTCTTGGATGGTTTAAAAAAGAACCAAAAGGAAACCACCTACAGCATCTGGAGGAATTGGGCCCCATTTTGAGAAACAACCAGATCTTGTCGCAAATCGGTTGGATCAGCGCCTGCCAAGCCGCCAAGCACGGGGACGGGCTCGCAGAAATGCGAGGCGATGGGGACGGGCTCGCCTCGGGTCACATTTTTTTTCTGGGGAACAAACAGGCGTCGGTGGAATCAAAAGGGAACCAAGGAAACAAACCTTCATTTATAGAGGAATCTCCCAAACCTCTTCGACCCCCAAAGAAAGGCTCCTTAGAACCATGCCGGGTGGTGAGGCCCTCACTAGCCCCATTATTGGCGTGTGCAAGTGTGCCGGCATCCAGTACAAGGTTGTTCAACCCTACTTGTATCTTTGATTCTCTTTGATTCAATGTCATCCTAGATAGAAGAGGGATAAAGGGGGGTAGCCAAGTTGTACACCAGATTCATAAGTTGCTTAAGATGCAAGGGTCCTTAGCTAGGTCCTCCAGTAGAGAGGTTAAAATAAGGGTACCGTTTTTCTGTAGTCTATGTGGTTCGGGCACGAGCCTGTGCCCAGGCAATGGGTAAGTTGGGGTAAACAAGCCACAAAAGAAAGGTTCCCCAAAAGCAAACCAATCCCCGGTCCCAAAGATCAGGGTTTCCCACACACCAGAGAACAACAACCAAAAGGAAACAAACCAAACAAGAAAAGGGTTAACCCGCAACCTTGGTCGACAACAGGCCGCACGACTGGTCCCTACCAACCTGGCGGCGGCCCGAGGTCTCTTTCTCCCCCGAGATGCCGTCGGTCGACGCAGGGGTTCGGCGACGCCCATTCGAGGCGCGACGGAACCCAAAACTTGAGCCAAACACCACAGGTCAGTCACTACCGCGACATCCCTGGTGATGAAATAAACCATGGCTAATCACACCCCCCTCACGAGGAGCCCGTCATATGACGGGTGGAGCGTGCCATTTACTGATAGGATTTAACTGCTCGCATGCGTCCGCAAACAGCTGGACACTACCGCCGTCAGCGGTGGAGCAAACCCACAAAGGCAGTTGCGCGACATCCCGGGCATTAAATTCCCGCCACCACCCCGAATTAATCGGGGTAACGCTGTCCAACATACCTTGTGGAAAAGTCCACATGACGACAATAGGTCACAACTGTTTGCATCAGAAATGCAAGAAGTTTAATTCTTATCAGAAGCCATGAAATAAAAGATAACGTATGTCCATTAGTACCCTCGCCTAACGGCAAGAGGTACTCCTGACCATGCGTACCTGAAAAATGCCTGAATTCCGCAAACCCGGGAGTAACCCCCCATCAGTTTGCTTTCCCTCTCACTCATACTGCTTCCGGATGAGCACGTCCAGCAGCTCAGCAGCGGTACGGGAGAGACATGACCTCCGCGCCTCAGCGGTCCGGGAGGAACATCACCACCTCCGCACCGCGCCGACCGTTGGAGAACGGACGCAAGCCTATCGGCCGCAATCCTCGTGACTCAGCCTACCGGCTATCGTCACGTCTCCTCCGGTCACGTCCGCCCCGCGCACGGTCCCTATCACGATCCCTTTCGGATCTCCTGCGATCATCTCGCCTTCGATCCCGCTCCCGATCGAGTGAATCATCATCACGACGATCACGAGCATCGTCCCTCCTCCTGTCGCGATCATCCTCGCGCCGCGGACGATATCTGCGCCTCCTCGACTCTCTGGAATCCCTGGTGTCCACGGTCCTAACGGACCTCCGAGAAGGAGTACGGGAAACATCCGATTCCCTACGCCTCCTCCCAGATTGAGAGTTCGTCACGATCTGGTTGAGAGCTTCCAGTGCCGACGCGTCCTCACCATTTCTGATGAAATCCCTAACCTGCTTGTTCAGCACTCTGTTGGTGGAGATCGTCAAGAAAGCGTCCACCACCGAACTCTCAGGCAGCACCAGGAAGTGACCCTCCACCGGGCTCGCCGCAGCCCGCTCAGCAGACTGCAGCCGGATCTCCCCGCCTTCAGGCTTCTTTGCCATCGCCTTGGAGGCAGTCAAAGGCGCTACCGCATCCTTTGCCGAAGATCTGCCAAGCGCGGAGTGAAGATCATCCCCGCTAGCTTCTCTCGCTGCCGCACCTGGTCTGCTGTCGACATCGCCAGGCCTCGTGGATGCCTCCCGCTTTGTCGACTCCTTCGCAGCCTCGTCGGGATCCCAACGGGACTTCCTTTCTCTCTTCTGCCCTTCGGCCGACCCGCGGCTACCGCCGGGAGCGTCACCTCCGCCTGTCTTCTCCTTCTTGACCTCAACCTTCGGTTCGGCCTGCTTCGTCTCCTTAGCCACAGCTTTTGGAGCCGGAGCACTCCTCGCCTCAGATGCCGAAGCAGCCTTCCCTTTCGGCTCTGCCTTGGGAACCGGGGTCACTTTGGCCTTGGCACTCGGCCTGGCCCCTTCAACCACCATCTCGGCCCAAGACTTCTTCGGCTGAGCAGCTGCTGCATCAACCTCCATCGGAGCAGGTCCAGCGTCATCCTTCGCCTTTGGGACGGATGGGCTACCGCCCTTACCGGATCCTTTACCCGGCACTTCACCTGACTTTGGTGGCGGGCCGGAAGGGCTACCGCCCTTACCGCCCTTTTCCCCCTTCTTCCCTCTTCCTTTTCCGCCCTTGGGGACCGGTTCCTGCTTGGGACCAGGACTCGGCGCAGCATGATGCACTGATTGGAGTCCCTCGATGTCCACGTTCAATGGTTCGGGTTGACGACCGTCAAGAACCGTCCTCACCCTTTCGTCGCTAACGTAGACGAATGGGTCACGGAATGGTGCGGGAGGCTCCGACTGTCCGGCATTGATCGCCTTCTGCACCTTGGCTATCGCCTCCTTCAACCTCTTCTTCTCATCATACCCTGTCTCCGATACCATGTACCCCCTGAGCTGCGACATCAACGCATGACTCTCCAGGATGTCCACGTCCTTTCGATGGGTCGGGTACAATGGGGTCAGATGACCAGCCGCAGAACCAATCACGTATGCCATCGGGATATAGAATGACAAGTACGTGTCATGACGAGCGAACTTCCTAACGGAAGTCGTCATACGCCTACCCCACTGCGCAGCGTGTCTTGGATTGGCTCGGAAATACTCCGTGACCGACTCAAATCTATCGACTTGGTTGGTCTTGATCAGGTGCTTCGCCACCCACTTCTCCACAAACGCATCCGAGGCCGAAATCCCGGACACATAGGAGAATTGGAAGAGCACCTTCGCCAGCTCATCCCACGCCGCATCGACACCTCCCTTGTCTTCACCAAGATAAGGGGGAAGTCTGATGCCGCTCTGCACCGTCATCCTTAGATCGGATGCCATCGAATAGGAAATCAAATTCCTCTTGATGACTCCGACCACTTCGGAGGGAATCCTCCTGGGCTTGAACTGCCCCATGGTCCTCACCCACTCCGGCACGATGTGGCACGTTTCGAAGTCCTTTTCCTCCGCGTTGGGGATAAAGTTCGGGTAAAAGACCGGGAGCGCGCACCCGGGACACAAGTGCATCCCATTCGGCATCAATTCCGCGCACCTCAAGCAGAACGTGGCAGTCACATTCAGCCTGACCTCTTCCCGTGATCGCTTGTGCTCTCCCCTAACGGGGGTGAAGTCACCGTAGTCCCATGCCCGATGGTACACTATTGTGTAATCATCGTACATATACGCCGCCTTCCAAGCTCCCATGTGGATCTCGTTCCTAACGGCAAGAGTCTTCCTTCTCGTCAAAAACACGGGTCCAACCAAGGACCAGTGCACCCGAAGATCCACCATTACCACCACGTACCTACCGGAGTAGTTCCGCAGCCTGTCCCTGACATACCACGAAGGCGATACCTCAGCATCCGGCGCCATGGCTCCCACAAGTGGGATCAGGCCCTCATCCTGCCTACCATCCCCAATGGTCTCGTACACATCGGGCCTCGTGATCAATATCTCGATCATGGCCTTTCCATTTCGCCTCACCCTTTGGAGCTGAACCGCCTTCCGAAAGTCCGAGAACTTCATGATGACGTATCCCACCATGGGGAGTTCATTCCAATGCATCTCGTACATCAGAGATCCGCCAGGTGCATCTTCCTGAGTATACCTGTGCCTAACGGCACTGTAACTCAAGTCGCGTCCGATCCGCGTGTGCCTAACGGCAACCAACCTGGTGCTCTCCTTGAGGAGAACGCCATCCCCGTCGTACATGACCATGAGCATCGCCTCCACTTGCCCTATCGGGAAAGCTTTAAGCGTCGGAATGAAGAACTTCCAAGACATCTCAGCGTTCTCCATACCCGAAATCTCCTTCAGGAACCAGATGGCCTGGTCACTTTTCACCCAGTTTCCAGCCTCGCGTCCGGTCTCCTTCAGCACACGTTCCTCGAATAACTCCGAGACTCTCTTTGAATTGATGACCAAGCCGTCGAAATCGCACGAGAGCAGTCTCATCAACTCCTTCGCCGCCTCCCGTCCTGCAACAGTGCCCACTGTCTCCTCGTAGTTTGGGAGGTATTCACCCAATCTCGTCTTCGAGGGAACCACAATCTGGCAAGTGACGGCCTCATTAGGGATAACTCCCGTTTCCCTTAGCTCCGGATTGATTTCTCGCCTATCGGCAAGATAATCCTCCTTCCCATCCAGTATCACAAGATTGTAGGTCATCTTGCTCGCCGCCCCACTCGGCCTGAACTTCCTGCTATCATCTAGCTGGTCAGGAGCAAAGGGTCCACTAGGGGCAGCTGCACTCACCAGAGGCGCTCCTCGCCCAGAGCAGAGGTGCTTCTTGTGGAAGTTCACCATCTGATTCAGCTGCGATAGTGCGTAGGCACGATCCTCCAATGACGCACTCTTCATCCCAGCCTCAGTCAGGGGAGCCTCAGGCTTGTCATAACTCGCCTTACCGCCCCATCTCGCCGCGACCAGCTCAGCAGACTTCACAGGGTCGATCAAATTCCCCGACCATCCAGGCATATTGCTCAACCTCCTAGTCAACGCGTCTACCGACGCAGCCAAGTCTTCGTCCGTCACGGTGTAAGGGTCGACATTCTCCCTGTCGTCCTGACCCACGTCCGGAAGCCTATAGTCCCCGCGGATGGCCTCCATCGCGGTCCTCTCGGCTTCCTCAGCCTCCTCTTGCGTGGCCACAGC